TGTGACAAACTGTTTCGTCGGAGTTTCACCGACTCATCAGGAGGCTGTGACGATATATATATGGAAGCTTGAGGGATTGTAGTTCAAATTTGCAGGATGCTTGGGCCATCTTCCCCCGAATAGAACATACTGCCCTTATCGATGTATCTGGACTGAAAGCGGCACAAACTACAGCTATAATGACCTTACTGAGGGGGGGAAGACTGTAGGCTTGGCCAGGCCCACACTGGAGTAATTGACATTATGTCTGGTTTTAATCATCTGATGGTGTTTGCATATCGTGAGGAGAGGGAAGATGGTAGATAGAAAAGACATTGAGGTGGTGAGGGCAGAGAAGAGAATTCCCAAGGAAAGCGACGGGAGGAAATTGGCCTTTTTTTTCTTTTTTCTTTTTTTTACTGGTGGTTTATTTTGAAATTCTAATATTTTACCAGGGTGTTTTTCTGGGCACCCGGGCACCCAACTTGTGCCTGGATACACGCCCGGGTGGCCAACTTGGGCCCGCTTATGTTGTGTGTAGAATTGCAATACAAACAACGTTTGGCTGAGGGTCACATCAGAATTCCTCACTGAATCGAAGGTAAAAAAAGAAAATAACAAAATCACACTAAGGCACCCCCCTTTAAACCCCTTTAGACCTTTCAAAACAAAAATTTATACTCCCCTTCCCCCCCCTTGACAGCCAACTCTCAAAAAATGAACAGAGTCCGGATGTGGTGTCCTCTGCCCTTTCAAAACAAATTTATACCCCCCTTCCCCCCCCTTGACAGCCAACTCTCAAAAAATGAAAAGAGCCCGGATTTGGTGTCCTCTGCGAGAGTGCAAAAAGGTTGGGGGGGGGGGGATGGATTTTTATTTAGTTACTTATTTATTTATAGCACAAACAGGTACCCCGGGCATCACGCCTGCGTGCCCGGCCGGGCATGAAAATCTTCCTAGATAATTTTATACTCCTTTTAAGTTTAACATATTTCCAAGGAATCGCAAGGGAGAAAAGGGAGGAGCAAGCCCGGCCGGGCATGGAAATCTTCCTATATATTTTATACTTCTTTAAAGTTTAACATATTTCCAAGGAAGTCTCAAGGGAGAAAAGGGAGGAGCTCTTGCTCTTCTTCTTCACACAGTCTTGTCCCTCGTTGCTATCTCCATTTCATTGTTTTGTACCGATTTGAGCTTCACGAGTCGATGTGTGACCTGGGCTACCACGCGGAGGCCCCCTGGGCCACCTTGACTGCCCGGGAAGGCCTGGCCGGGGCAAGCCTTAGGGCCAGGCAAGGTCCCTTCCCCCCAAAAAAACTGTGTTACGCACAACAATAATAAACTTCAAACTGAAAACAGCTTTTGCCTCAGGGCCACACGCGAAATCATTACCAAACTGGAAAAAAAAATAAAATCAAAATAAGTTTCAAAAAAAAAAAAAAAAAAAAAAAAAAAAAACTCCGCCTTGGGCTGGCAAGGCAAGTGGTGCTGGGCCACGCTGGTCGCAAGGTCTGCGACTAGAGTGCGCGCTTCTGAAGTCGTGTACATTTTTTCCAACTGGCTTTCCACATATCGACTTCGACAGTCTAAACTCTACGCGTTCCATCACATCACTCTTAACCCAAWAATTTTCTAAATAATTTTCTAAAAAAAAAAAAAAAAAGAGCAAACTCAGTCCAACCTCTAAGCTCTCATAACCTCCCCCCCAAAGTAAACCAAACCCCTCACAGAAACTCTCTAAATAATTTTCTAAATAATTTTCTAAATAATTTTCTAAATAATTTTCTAAATAATTTTCTCAATAATTCTCTCTAAAGGATATTACAAATGGTAAAAACAACTTAAAAAAAGGTTAAAAAGGTTAATAATAAGACAAACTTCAGGGGCTTTTCCAAAAATGAATGTGAGGCTATGCTTCCGATCTGCTCTCTCGGGCAGCGCTGCTCTACCCCCGTCAACTGCTCTCGGGTACTTCCGTAACAATTCACGGCTGCATGGTCTGCATTGAATGATGAACAAATTATGAATAATTTTTCTAATTTATTATGGAGAAACATACTTTTTTTATTATAGTGGATGTTCAAATCGTTCGGATTTACGTACGACTGTCACAGAGTAAGCACTGACCAGGTACACCCCCTCTCAAATGGAACTTCAAGTTCGCTTCAGAGCTCACAACGAAATAGGGCCTCAATCCACTCTCTCGACTGACGAAAAATAAAATCGCGAGGCTCAGTCCGGTCGCACTCAACTTACCCGCGAAGGGTACTCCCGAAAAGCCTCCTCTTCGAGACTGATCATCATCAGACCGCATTCGTGAAGGGAGAGCTCTCGATCCGTCAAGAGTGCGCTACCTGCATCATCAGACCCCTCTTAAAGTTTTCTGTGGTAGTACTAGTATGGTGTTTATTTCTAACCCCATTATAGCCTCTTATTTATTCAAGAGTCCACCTCCAGTACAGGTGTACAAAGGACTCCGAGGCGTTTAGGTGCCGGGTCGAGTAGAGTAGTGTTGGGTAGCCGGCTCGAAATTCGACAGTTGGTAGTTCGCGCGGCAGGGAATTTTGAGAATTACCAGGGTCTGACAACTCTCTCTCTCTTTTTTTTTTTTTTTTTTTTTTTTTTTGAGGGTCTGACAACTCTCAAACTACTCTCAAAATCTTTCGAGAGTCGAGAGTAGTGGAGCAAGACCCCCATAAAATTAAATACATATTGACGATATATATATATATATATATATCATATATGTATTATGTAACCCTAAGTTATAATTGCCTTAGGAGTGGAGTGGACCTGCTTCAGTCTGTGCCTCTACTGCTCCCTTTGCCGTCCATCTCCCGCTTGATCCAACACTCCTTCCCAGATGCACAGCTGCCTACAGTGGCACCTGAGAATAGCTGTACCAGACCTGCCTATAGTGTGATGATACCTTCCTTCCTATAGATGTACCTGACTCTAGAGCTATTGATACACCAGAACACCACAATTATAGCTGTACCACACCTGTCTACAGTGATACCTTCCTATAGATGTACCGGAATTATAGCTGTGTACCACACCAGGTCCTGCCTATAGTGGTACCTTCCAATAGATGAACTACCTGCGTCTAAAGCTATCGATACACCGGAACGTAGTAGAGGTGCCACTCCTACCTATAGTGAACACCTTCCTATATAAGATGTACGCGCGTCTAAAGTTATCCATATACACTCGAACATAGACGATAGATGCAACAAGCACACACATCTCATTCATTGAATATGATGTCACAGCTGATCCTCGATTTGAATCTGCCCCGTTGCTCTGAATCCGAGAGCAGTGGTAAGAAGGCACGGTATGGCGTCTTGCATTTTCCGATGCACCACCGCCGCCAATGAATCTGGCCGGGAATAAGGTCAAATGAGGTCAACCAGGAAGTTTAAACTACCGTAAAAGATGACGACATCCCCGTGTAGTGCCGCTTGTGGCCAAAGAAATGCCTGTACGCTCCAAAGTGGCGTAGTCTGTACGTGCCCCTTGGAGCATAATCAGGAACATCCCAGCGGACAGTGGCCTGGCTCTCTGGCGACAATCTCATTTCCCTCTTCCACATCAACCGCACACACCAATCGTCGTCGTCGTACATCGCTACCCACTTTCCCGTCGATTCATCGAATCGTTCGACCAATGCGAATGTCCCGCCAGGCATACGGTCATTCCGCAAGCACCCAGCCCAAAAGGTTGCTTCGACAACGTCACCCGTGCTGAATGTCCTGCCCTTCGCAACATCAACACGGATGTCACCGAACCTAACGTGACGCGGGGTTCCGTCGGCGACCACTGGGGGTAAGAAACCCAGCTGCATCGGTAGGAGGTCTGGTGGAGCTGGTCCTTGTGGGACATCTTTGCCCTCCGCCATCGCCGCAGCGAGACGATTGAATTCCTGTAGGTAAGCGTCGAGAGTGTGGGGGCCGAAGATTGTCGATGCACCCTGCACACCATACCACCCACCACCAATAACCATACAAAAACAAACTTCTGTCAGTGATTTCCTTTCTTTTTCGTCTTCTTCTTCTTCTTCTTCTTTTTTTTTTTTTTTTTTTTTTTTTTTTTTAACTGCCCGTTTGGGAGTATTTGGACGATTTCTTCAAACAGCGAAACACTCAGTAGATTATTGCAGAAGAGCTGAAAACCACCTTGAAGTCCCTGCCTGCCCATACACTAATAGTATGGGAACGACGAAACACTGTTCCTTGCCAACATTCTGAACCAGGTTCAAACTTCAAACAGCAATTTAATTATTTTAATTTATTTAACAGAGTCCAGATATAAAGACCCACTCAGGGAAATGGCTGCAGGGCAGTTGAAAACCACGTGTCAGCCTGGCAGTGCCACCATCCTCCACCATTTCATAATTATCTCGGTCCAAAGTTCGAAACCACGGTTATCAAATAACTAACATCAAAAATTGGATTATCATTATTACCATAAATAGAAAGCGCAAATAGGATCCTTTTTTTTTTCAAAAAGGGGAAAATAAAATAAAAAATAAAAAATCACTTCGGATCCTCAAGATGTCCTTCGGGACATTCGTTAAAACTTAAGACTTGAAATTGGAACGATAGAGACAAGGAAGATCAGCTGGCACCTGCACAAAGATGACATGCATAAATCGAGATATTATTATAGTCTTAAAAGTTAAAACTTAAAAGTGAATATATAAAAACAAAGAAAAGGAACGAGGAAAAAAAAAGAAAACAAACAAACTTGGATCCTCGTGCGCATCATGATTGTACCAGAGTCCAATGAAGTATGCCTGCCACCATCCCAGCACCACAACGCAATCTCTCTTTTACCCTGTGTAGCACACCGAACATGTTCGGAGCTTTTCCGAACGTCCAAACATGTTCGGGTGTTCAGCCGAACGCCACCCGAACATGTTCAAAAAAAAAAAAAAAAAACTTTTTTTTGGGTTTTTTATTTTTAAATTTTATTATTTTTATGTTCGCGTTCGGAGAGTTTCGGCGCTCGTTCGTGTTCGGTCCCGAACTTAGTGCGTCATTAAAACTTTCAAAAAAAAAAAAAAAAAAAAACAAGGAGTTGACATGGAAATAACATGAAAATGACGCCGGTGTGTGTGCCTACCTCATATCGCTGAACTTGGTACTCTTCAAATGTAGTTACGTAGGAAGAATACGTGTTCGACAATCCCGCAATCACAACATGAGTGTCTTCGCCAAATTGGCCTTTTCCTCTCTCAATTAAAGTCCGTTTGACTGACTCCCTCAAGCGCCTGCCTGCCATGGTTGTGAACTCTGCGAAAAAATGTGGGAAAAAAAAAAGGGACAAAAAAAAGAAACAATTTAAAACTTAAAATACTTAAGACTGGAAGTTGGGTTGTCATCGACACACACAAAGTGTGGGATGCACACATTTGTGGGTATTCCAGGCCCTTGGAAACTTTTTTCGCAGCCCTTGGACATCCTTCTCCCCCCCCCCCCCCCCCCCCCCCCCCCACACACACACAGACACAGAGAGAGAGAGAGAGAGAGAGAGAGAGAGAGAGAGAGAGAGAGAGAGAGAGAGAGAGAGAGAACTCGTGCCACATTGTGTGTGTGTGTGTGTGTGTGTGTGTGCCTTTCGACACGTGGCTCCGAGGCNAGAGAGAGAGAGAGAGAGAGAGAGAGAGAGAGAGAGAGAGAACAGAGACAACAGAGAGAGAGAGAGAGGTTACTTCTTCGTCTTCTTCTCCTCCGGGCCCGTCAATATCAGCCACGGCTGTCTCTGAGCAACCCCCAGAGAGAGAGAGAGAGAGAGAGAGAGAGAGAGAGAGAGAGAGAGAGAGAGAGAGGTTGCTCCCAGTTTGCTGAGTATTACTTCAAGATAGAACGATCACAGACTTGCCGACTTTTTCAGGGACGTTGCTCCCAGTTTTAGACTCAACATCGTGTCTAAGGAGGATTCAATTTGTCGAATTGGGGGGGAGAGATGATTATCATCCAGGCTATTGGGCTGTGATAACCTGCAAAATTGCAGACTGTGAATCCTGTGCTTTTCTGAGCTTTTGCCAATGTAACAGTTCTGTCTGTGTGTCTGCTGGGGTTCCTGCCATCCGACTTATGTCCCTGGTGTGGTGATTGCTGATATCTGTTTTCCGTGTCTCTGTCAAATGGCATCTGTCTCGAGGGGTTTCTCAGAGACAGTCGTAGACAACTCTGCCTCCTACGACTCCTATACCGTCTTCACCCGGATAGAACGCCCACTGCAGTCATTATAGCTGTATCTGGACAGAACATTGCACGAAATACGACGCGGCCATAATGACCGGGCGTCTAGTCAGGTGAAGACAGTAGCCTACTTATGTCAGCGACCCGTCCACATGTCGCCATCTCAAAGCCCCTTGAAATCTCTGATCGAACAGCCTGCCTTCGTCAAAACCAGGGACGTGCCTCGTCACCCTACCTCCTCTCCCTCTCCCTCTCCCACTCCCTGTTCCGCCAAGGGGACCTCTGCTACTCAAGTAACTTCACCACACGGTTACGGAGCGAGCAGCCCGGCTATGGCTGCCGTTCTCCCCTTCTTGCGCCTACCTGCCACCGTGCACCTTCCTCCTCGTGCACAAATCACAAAGTAGCCGCTTGCGCAGCGCAGCTGCCCCATTTCTTGGACGCACAAACGACCGAACAAGTGCGCCCTCTGGGCTTTTGAGCTGGCTGGAGAGGTGGACGAGGCTCCGCCCAGGTTGCACCTTCCGTCCCGTTTCCAGCGCTGTGGGCCTTCGAGAATCTGCACGAGGGTGACGAGGCCCAGCATCTTCAGCTAACTTGTGGGTTGGGCGTATCAGTCAGTTGAAGACGCTGCACGCATGCAGCAACTACCTCGGGCCCCCATTCTGCTGAAATTGGCCTGGACTCAGGCCTGACACCATTTCTGCAGGCCCCCCTTCACTTAGGGCAGGCGGGGGGGGGGAGGTCTCCCTGGTTGACCGAGCGCCTGAATCCTCGCATTTGCAAGAGAAACCAAAAAAAAAAATGAAGCCACCCCAGAACTGCAGAGTAAGTAAGAAAAGACTTCAAAAATTGGACACCCCCCCACCGCAACCCCCCCACCCCCCCCCCCCCCCCCCCCCCCCCCCAAAAAAAAAAAAAAGCACTGACTTAAAGCTTGCAACATAAACATACTTGCAACCACATGAGCCGCACATTTGTGCGGAGTTCCGTGCGGAGTTCCGTGCGGGGGGTGCCTGTGCGGAATCGTGAAGGTTTTTTATTTTTATTATTATTATTTTATCTTTTTCTGGGAGGGGGAACGGGGGGGGCGTATGACAGTAAGATGGGAATATGGCGAGGAGAGGGGGATATGGAGAGGAGGAGGAGGATGTCGGGACATCGCTTACCATTCCATTTTTCCGAAACCACGAGGAGGACGACAAGAGTTGAGATGGGGGGAGGAGAAGAGATGGAAGGAGGGAAAAGAGGAAGGGCAGGAGGAGGAGGACGAGTGGGAGGAGGAGGAGACATGGACGGCGAGGAAGGGGAGGACACGAGGAAGAGGAGGTCATGAGGAAGAGGAGGACACGAGGAAGAGGAGGACACAGAAGGGAAGGAGACGAGGAGGCATGGAAGCTGAGGAGGTACGAGGAGGAGGAGGAGACAAGGAGGATGAGTAAGGGCAGGAGGAGGACGAGCCGGATGAGATGAAAAGGAGAAGGGAGCAGGAGACATGGAGGAGGAGGAAGGGGAGGAGGAGCAATGTGAGGCAGTACTCCTGTAATTTTTTTTTTCATCTCGCTTATAATCTTGCCGGGGCCCCTCAAACGCACCATTTCGAACCCGGCCTTTTTTTCTCTGAGGGGGGTGACGGGTCGTTCCCCGCACACGTAGTGTGCTGCACGGGATCGGTTGGGCGCATGCGCCGCACGTAGGGAACCGCCCGCACGACGTGCGCTTGCAAGCATGAACATAAACGATCAGAAAGGTGAAAATCAGGACAAACACTTTTCAAGCCATCCTGGTACCACAGAGCATATTAAGAAAAACCTTCATCAATGGGCCTAGTTCAGTTGGTACACCCATAACTGTCGAAATACAGACTGAAGTTTGAACCCAGATCAAAGGGCAAAAAAAAAAAAAAAAAAAAACAACGACGGCGCTGAGAAGACGTACCTCCAGGAACTGCCAGAATAATGAACTGTCCAATCCGCAGAATCTGAATTGGGAGAATTTTTGGCTGGAACAGTCGTACGAAAATACAAAATGCACACACTGTCAGGCCATTTCCGAAACAAAAAAGCACAAAAAAAAAAAAAAAACGTCAATCTTGAATCCCAAAGCATACTTGGCGAGGGATCCAGTCGAGGACGTCAACCGGGCATCGAAAACAGCAAGCTTCCGTCGACAAACTCGTAGCACGAGTTTTTTTTGTTTTTGTTTTTTTACGAGTTTTTACGAGTTTGTTGAACTTTGTTCTCATCATCTCATGCCAAAAAAAAAAACAGGTACTATTAAGGAAAGCAGGGCAGCTATGTCATTCAGTGTACACACACACACACACACACACACACACACACACACACGCACACACACACACACACACACACACA